GTTAAAAAAAATCAGAACTATTTGGTATCTTTAAACTTATGTGATGAAACAGACTATTCTGCAGGTGGATAAGGATAGCAGCCCCAAATTTTAAAGCTGTATATATGTAACCAAGTGACCCAAGGAACACATACAACCCTAACATACCTTTGCCTGTTAAGCTATCGGTGTACTTAGAACATCAATTTCTTTTCTTAATTTAACTGTGGAAGTCATGGTGGTTTTGACTTTATTTCATGACTATATTTTAATTATCAAACTAAATATTTGGTGCTTAATGTTTTGAAATGCAAATTAGATGTTCTCCACAAAACAAAGTAACCCTAGAATGGGTAGCTTCCTGCAGCTGAAAATGGGTACAATTTCTATTTGGAAAATGCTGAAATAAAATACATATTCATTTATTAACTTTATAATAAACAGCCTCACTACAGAGGAACTATTTTGTGTTTTTACAATATGCTGCTGTTATTCTCATTCTTTCAAAACACAGCTACATTGTGTCAATCTTCTAATAAATGGGACATTCTATGCATTATAATTTGTAATTATATTTCCTCAGGTTAGAATTTTAATTCATTTATAAAGAAATCTTTTACAAAAAAAAAAAAGAAAAGGAATTATGTATTCTAGGGAATTGATTCTAAATGTAGAAAATATTCATTTTGAATCACAGTAATGATTGTCAAGTGATGACAGTTGTACTGATAGATCTCAAAAAGTTGGTAAGGAGATTCAAAGTTCTACTTAAGTCAGGCAACAATGTTCAGTTTTTAGAATGATTATAAAATCAAAAATTAGTTTTGTCAAAGAACCACACTTGCCAGCACTGTATCGCACATGTTCTACATTAGCATAGGGAAGCAGTAATGGGTAACAGAAGGACAACGTGATTGGTGAAACTTAGCACTGCATTATGCAGAATGGGATTTTTCACTGTGGTCATTACTTCTTATGTAAACACCACGATCGCTTAGAGATTAAAACTTGGTAAAAATATTGGTGAGGTAGGCAAAATATACAAAATAACTCCTCTTTTCATAGATACAACATTACTTTTTTTGATTTGGGTAACAATACTAGAAATATTTGCTATCATTTAATAACCTCAAAAAACAAAACCTTGAATTTTGAGATGTCTTTTTGCTCTGCTACCACTTCAAAAATAAAAGCCACCATCTTCTCTCACCTAAAGTCTCCACTCAAACTCTCTTCCCACTAAGCTTTACACATCCTACTGATCTAAAACCTTATGTAGGAGGCAGAGCCTTGCCTGAATTTCCATTGCTACTTTCATAATATGGCCCTAAGCACTTCTCACGTGGACTACTTCAGCCTTCTGGATTATCCCCAGTCCATTCTCTGTGTTTCTAACAAAGTGATCTTTCTAAAAATGTTAAACTGCTCATGGTAATTTCTGCTCACAGTCCTTCTATGCCCACCTTCAGTTTTGGGGCTGGCACTAAACTGCCTCTCCCTTTGCTCCCTGTTCATCATTCCAATTTCAGCTGCTGTCAATTCTCCAACAGACCCTTCACTCTTAAGAAGCTAAGCTATTTGCAATTTGTAAATGCACCATTGTATGTCACATAGCCCATCATTTGCATTGCAATCATTTGAAAGGCCCCGTGTCCCTTCTCTTCTGAGCAACTTCCCCTGTCTAGTGAAAGTAACCCTTGGCCATGCTCATTTCTACCTCTCCTTACAAATTCAGCTTTAGCACATTTTCTAGCTGCTATCATTGCACTTATCATACAGCATTGTTACCAGTCATTAATTTAGGACTCTACTGCTCGCATGGGTGCACATCCTAATCGACTTATGTAGATTTCTATTTCAAGTATGCCGCTCAGCTCCTGGCACATACAGAATGTTATTGAATCAAAAAATTTATAGAAACCATTGGCAATTTTAGCATTCCTAATAAAACTAAACATGTAAACTCTGTATAACAAGATTCCTAGTTGCTATGACAGAGGATTGTAGAACTGGAGTTTGTATGATACAAGGAAGACCAGGCAGAAAGAATACATATTTCCATTGGAGGTGGGATGAATAGATGGTGAAATGCAAAATGGCAGAGGCTAATAATGCTATAATTAGGCAAGGACAGAACCCAGAATTTAGGGTCTATGACAGCCAGTAGGATAACTTCTGGATACTCTCAGAAGATAGTTGGATAATATGTAGTTTTGGTTTATGTGAGAAGGTGAAGGTGGTGACGGGGGAAGGGTCACAGAGTAGAATAGCATCAAGCATTAGCAGAGAAGAGATTTTGGTAGACTGACATGAACAAAGAAAAAATTGAGTGGAAAGTAAAATTTCCACTTAAGTACATTTGAAGTGAGGGATGGGAATCCAATCAAGATTTGAGATACCAGACATAAATTCAATGCTAGGAAAATTAATTACATCAAATTGAATCCTCACTTTAAAAAAATTAGGGCACTGAATCAGATAAGCCTCACGATAAGGCTACAGTTGCTGGTAGGAGACTGATGGTAGGAATGTAGTCAGAAGAAAGAAAGACAGTACTACCTGACTGAAGGATCCAGATTACTTGACTAGACCAGTTTAGTCCCACCACCTGGCACCCACCTGTAGGTGATCTGGGCAAGTCATTACAAAAAACTTAAGATGAACTCAGTGGGATAAGCATATCAGTTAGAAAACATACATATATATATATATATGTATGTATTATATATATATATTTTTTTTTCTGATAGTAACGTTAAATTCCAAAAAATCTGTTATTTGTTTATATTATTATTGGATTATTTCTTCTTGTAATATTCCAGGATTTAAATTTATTTTTCTGATCATGAATCTCCAACAATGTATAATTTGAAGTTTTCAGCTACTGGCTCAATTCTAGAAAAGGTCAAAAATCTTGCCAACAAATGCAGAGAGGAGTGTTTCTAATTGGGTCACTAGAAATTCTGTAATATATTGAGTTAATAAAAGTCTTGAACTTTTGTTACAAGGCTGCAGGCACCTATGACAGTTTATGACAAACCTGGGCAAAGGTTCTGTGTTTTGTTGTGGTCATTTTATGTTTGATTTACAATACCTTACACAGTGCCTGGCATAATAAATGATCAATGAATGTTTGTGGAAAAAATTGATTAAATGAATAAAGAGTTAATGTAAGTTATGTTATATAGTACAATTATGGAAAATTAATAAAAATATGCTGTGTTTGCAACTTATGCAAAATAAAGCTGAATTCACCCAAAAATCTAACTCTTATAAATGCAAGTAGCTTGTAACTGCTTTAAGCACCAGTAACAGAACTGAACACCTAAAAAGTAAATTTTATCACAGGTAGGAACATGTGAATGACCCTGATTACTTGTCAATAGAAAAAGATGTTGAGTGCAGGCATTTTCCTTTTCTACTTTGGATCAGCAATCAGATTCACCTACAGATCATTGATTCATGAATAGCACTATATACTTACTTTGAATTTTCAAGTAGCCAGTGTTTCATAAGTATTTATATTACAAGTACAACCTTAGCCATCTCTTTTTCTTTGGTACAGTGTTCTTACAATTTTTAGCCAGACAAGACTCAGGAGTTTCCTTTATGACTTGTATTCTTTTACCAATACATTTTTTAAATTAAGAAAAAAACACTTCCTCATTTCTAGTGATATAGGATTATTTTTGGTTACTTGAATGGCTAATATGTGTTTATGAAGTCAAATGTATTCCTTTTACACAAAGAACAAACATTAATTTTTAAGTGACAATGTAAACAACTTGGTATAACCCAATTATGAAGTGTCTACATGAATTTCTGCGCCTTCATTTATTTCTCATTAAAAGTTTGATAACAAAATGTCCACAAAATGACATGTTTCAAATGGAAACCTCTTTAAGTTTTGGATATTCATCTAATTACAAATGTGCAGAAGTTAAAATGGTTGAAACAATTAGACTCAGTTCCTAAAAACAACATGGCTCAATTTTTTGAAAGATAGAGATGTTAGATAATATGAAAGACTTTGCTATTGAAAAGATAAAGAAAATGGCAAATTGAACTTTCATATTTACCATGGAATACTTGATAAGGAACAATTCGGAAATTAAATGGTCCCACAAGGTTCATGTGTTATAACTATTCTGCTTTTATTTCCACAAAGCTTCCTATTTTTCAATCATTCATATGAAATTATTCATAACTGATTTATAACATTGAATAGGAGTTATTTTCTCATCCTATTTCTGACAAATATCTTCAAAGCTCTTATAATAAAGATACCAAGAGAGAAAGTGAAATGAAATGGTAATACAGCAGGGGGAAAGGGCAAGGCTTTTAAGTTGAACAGCACAGACAGGTGAATGGTTTAGTGTATGAACATCTCAAAAATGTCCTTAGAATTTTGCTTTTAACTACAGGTTATCTGCAGGCTTTGTCGAGATGAAAAACTAACAAACCAAAGCGAACCAAACCAAACTAAACTAAACACAAATAAAACTTTCCTGACAGAAATTCTCCAATGAATGTCTCTTAGAAATGTACCACTTTATTAGCTGCTAAGCAACCTTGAGAAAACACTTCTCCTTCTGGCTCCTTTTTCTTTAACTCTTACAGTAAAAGAAAAATTACCCCCTGCCCCACCTACCCAGTTTCTTATATCTCAGTTTTAGTTACCTGTGTTTCGACTACCTACAGTTAATCACCTACAGTTAACTGGTCCAAAAATAGGTAAGTACAGTAAAATATGATTTTTGAGAGAGAAACCACAATCATGTAACTTTTATTACAGTATATAGTTGTTCTATTTTATTATTAGTTATTGATGGTTGTGAATCTCTTACTGTGCCTAATTTATAAATTAAACTTTATCATAGGTTTGCATATATATATTAAAAAAAAAACATAGTACAATCTGTATAGGGTTTGTTATTTCCTCTGGTTTTAGGCATACTTGTGTGTCTCGAGAAGTATATCCCTGTGGATTAAGCAGAAATATTGTAGTTTTCTTCTCTTACCTGATAGGAGCACCTTTGGCTTGTGCTGGTCTCAACAATACAGTTATTGTGGTAGCAGTTTCATTGAGAGAGGCATCAATTCCTTCATAGTCAGGTAAAGTGGGAGCTGATGAGTGATTAATGAGACAAAAAAAAGTTCAATTAATTTACAGTAATATATCATAGGTCAAAATGAATAGATGATCTTTAGTTAGGAAAAATAAGCAATTCACCTAATTATCTACAATGGACTTTGTTTTATAGCATAACATCTGCCAATGAATTTTAACTCTGGGAACCTAAAACATCAAAAGCTAGAAAACCAAGATTTGTTGTGGAAATTTAAATAATAATCTGGCAATTTATGACACATATTCCAAATATTTTGTGAAGATGCTTTCCTTTTAGTTTCCTGAGACCTTCAAGTGAATAATGATGGGAAGGAAGGAAGGTAGTAACTGAGAAGACTGGGCAGTAGTGATTATGGAGTCACATATGGGATCAGGAGCTAAGAACAGCAGGGACTGAGGTCAAGGGCTGCCTGATGAGATAGTGCCATTTAAGATTTTATGGTGTTGAAAGACCCAGTATTCTTATCCTAATTTTTTCACAACTGTAGTCACAAGAGAAACATATCAAGAAGTGTGGTGAATAAGAACGGAAATCTTGGATTTTGTTCATCAGGGACATTAGTTGCCAGATTCTTGAAAAGAATGAATGTATAAATTTTTAAAATATTTGATAATGCTTAACTGGGGACTGGGATCTTGAGTGGGAGAAAGAGTTATCTCAAATGGCTTTAGATGACTCCCATGTAGAAAGATGTTTAAAGAGTATACACTCAATGACATGTTCATTATCTCTATCCATTTGTTGGACATTTACTGAATAACTACTACCTGCCAAGTTTTATGAGAAATGCTATGACTATAAAAACAAAGCATGGTCTCTGATATTTATAGAATTAAAGGTAGGAATTTACACTTTATGAAAAGTGAGAGTCTTAGAAACAAAAAATTATAGCCAAATGTTAGTAGCCAAAAGCTGAAGACCATTTGCCAAAACAGTGGTTGCCAAACTTGTAAGATGAGAAGCATCTGGAGGGCTTCCTAACACACAGATTACAGCCCCTCTCCCCTAGAGTTTCTGATTCAGTAGGTCTGGGGAGGGGCATGATAATGTGCATTTCTAGACAGTTCCCAGATGATACTGATGACGATGGTCTCGGGGTCACACTTTTTACATTAGTATTGGCAGTGGGATGATGAAACCAGAAGGCTCGGGGCGTCTACTGATGTTTAAGCCAAATATTAAAAAAAAGGATAAAACCTCATCAGGAAAAGAAAAGACGAACTAGAATTCTGAGAGAGGAAACAATATTTGAAGGGAACAAAATATCAAAGGATGTGTGTTTTAACAGCTGTAAGCCATTTACTGTGCTGCAAACTTTGGGTTACTGGGGAGAAGTGGAGGATGGGAGGAGTCATGCAAAGAAGGACCCTGAATGCCAACACCAAGTGGATACTTAGACTTCATCCTGCTGATTATAAGATGCGAGGTTTTGAAAATATTTAAGATGGAAACATCTGTGGTAGAAAGATAGATATAGAAATACAGTGAAGAGGCTGGGCATGGTGGCACACACCTATAATCCCACCACTTTGGGAGGCCAAGGTGGGCGGCTCACGAGGTCAGGAGATTAAGACCATCCTGGCCAACATAGTGAAACCACATCTCTCTTAAAAAAACACAAAAATTAGCTGGGCGTGGTGGTGCAGGCCTGTAGTCCCAGCTACTCAGGAGGCTAAGGCAGGACAATTGATTGAACCCAGGAGGCAGAGATTGCAGTGAACCAAGATTGCGCCACTGCACTCCAGCCTGGTGACAGAGTCGGACTCTGACTAAAAAACAAAACAAAACAAAAAACAGTAAAAAGAGTAAAGATGAGTAAGTCTGAAGGTAGGGATACCAGTTAGAAAGATATTTCAATAATTTGTTTTTTTCTTCCATCTTCCACATGGAAGAAAAAGAGCAGTGACATTAGAAGGAACTAATTATTATCTGAGAGTTTTTAGGAAGCAGAAACAACAAATATTAATTCAATACATGCACAATATGTAGTTGAATGTGTGTACATTTGTGTATGTGTATGTATGTGTGTATATAAATAACTCCCCTAACCATTATGTTTCCAGTAACTTGATTTCACTGTTATTTAAATTATTTTTTAAAATGCTGAGGAATGTAATTACTGGCCTCAGGGAATCAATTTAACAATAAATTATCTGAAAAGTTCAAGTAATGCTGAGAACCACACTACCCATAAATTTTATTAATCTTAGATGTGATTAATAATTGTTCTCAACATAAAGTGATTGCAACCAAGTTTTTAAAGTACAATCAAGTACTCATTGCACTTAGGTTAATATAAGTGAAACTGAAGTGAAGTAATTAAAAGAAAAAACTAGATGGAAGTTCTGGTTCTTTCCATATACTTTCCGTTCAACACACAGTATCTGAGCGTTGACACACACACACACACACACACACACACACACACACACTTATGGCTCTCAAAAATTTACTTTTGTTCAATGTTCTCAGTTTTATAAGTTTATGTAAATTTTGTAGCTGTCTCTCCTGAAAGCTCTTACTCAATTATAGCACTACTGCTAATTCCAGAGGGTAGAAAACCTGTCTCAGTACATCACAAAACATCACAAAGTCTTATTTTCTGGTGAAGTGATTCAATAAATATTTTAAATCATGATTTGTAATTGTTCTCAGGAAAGAAAATTACAATTTTAAAACATTATTATTTTATAATATAATACATAATACTTTAAAATAACTTTTTATTGGAATATTAAGATAAATGCTACTCCAAGGAATTACAGCTCATAATGGAATAGCTAATTTTATTTACGATATAAATTTTTAAAGTCTGTATTATATTGAACACATTTGCAAATAACATTTTTGACTCAAATTTGGAGAGTACATATCTTCCTTTTGATTCAAATGGTATAGATTCAGAAAAATGAAAGACATTTTTATGGGTATTAATGCTGTATCATTACTATATGCCATGTAGAACTACAATAAAAATGAATACAAATCAACAAAAAGAGTTTACAAAGTCAAAATTAGTGCTTTATTATATTGTGTGGCTGACCTTTAAATAATTTTTGTTTCAAATTTAATTCTTCAGCTACATATACAGTATAAATTTATTTTAGTAAGAAAAGACATTATATTAACTTTAGTAGATTTAGGGCATATTACAATGCTAATTCCTTGCAAAATTTAATCAGGTTTAACTGATGATCTGACTGAAGGAGAAATAAGATCTGTAAAAAATCCAGTCAAATACAAACTATGACTGTGAATGCAATGGAATGTAAAATTTATCAACCTAAAATTCTCCTGCATGTTCCCATTCTGAAACTTATATGTATTTATGTAAGATTTCTAAGAGGGAAAGAAAAGCCCATATTTGTTAAAAATTATCATAATGTCAGGGAAAAAGAAACAGAAACAAGGTGTGTAGTACTATAGTACTAGGGAAAGGAACTTCTACCATTCTTTTGATAACATTCATTTATGGTAAAGGCCTGACACAATAATTATCAACTCCTCAAAAGTATCATAAGATCGGTTAGCATTTGTAATGAATTTTGAAAGATTTCTAATAAAGTATAATTTTTTTAAGACCACTGTCAATCAAAAGTGACTATTCGAGATGTGTTTTGGTTTGGACATATAATGCATATTCAAATAATTCTTTAAAGTTCCTTCAATTATGCATAACTATATTAAAGCTTCAGTAAGCAAGATGAACCACACTTGGTTTATATGTGATTCTCCAGGATGTGCCATTACAAACCAGTGGCATAATCAATCCTTTTTGTACTTTATTCATTTGCATACCTGAGATATTAGTGGTGACATTGATGGCCGTGGCTGGCCCGAAGCCTTTGACTGTACTGGCCTTTATGAAAAACTGGTACGTGGTTCCAGGGTGGAGATGCATAAAGACATGGTGTGTACTGTTCCACAAATTTGATACAGTCTGGGGAGGTCCAGCCACTGGAACTGCAGGATCAAATGATCTTATACTGCTATAGCTGATCTGTTTTAAGAAATACATTTATTACATATCTGGTATCCATCATAAGAAATTGTAAATAAACTCTTTTAAATAAGGTAGTATGCAAGGGCATCCATGTGGAGTCAATGGTAATTTTTTTCTTATTTTCTTTCTCATGTTGATAATGTTATTTCTCTTATTCTGATGTTCTATCTATATATCAATCAATCAATCATCTATTTATCTACGGATACACCTGGATATATATCTGACCAAACCAATATACATCTACTTTTATCCATAAAAATACCACAATAAATTGTGCATACATAAAAAATCGTCTAGCTATAAACTTTAACACATATGAAACACAGAAAGTGTTTAACAAATGTTTATTATTAACATATTCTATACTTTGTTCAAGTTACATAACAAATTTCATGTAAATACTATTCAAATATGTGAACACAGATGCAAGATATAACATTGCACTAGTGACCCCATTTCCGTAATTCACTCTATAGCCATTAGAAATTTAAGCATTTATGCTCTAATCAATGCTGACTATGTAGGAACAGAACTACACAAATTAAATTTGTGTAATTTAAATGATTCTTTCATTTCTTCTATTTAGTTTTTCATATTTGAAAAGATAATGATTTATATTCAAAGTTGAAATGAAGGTCTGGAAAAGTCAGCTTTGTAATCTATTTTGCTTTTTGGATATTATTCCTTAGTCTTAAACAACTGAAATTCAATGACTTCTCCTAAATCACAGTAGAATAAGAGTTTCTTAATTTTATAAAAAGGGAAATGAGGGTTTTTAACATGTGATTATTTATTACTACAACCATCATAAATCTGATAAGGACTATCCTGCTTTCTTAAATCAACAAAATAGCAACAGAAAACATGCATTAACTTTAAGAATTTTAAAATTGTAGATGCCCTACAAAATATTTATTTTGATGCTTAATTTTGGAATCAAAGAATTCGTAAATTAAAACAAAGGAGAATCATGATTTTAATCCCCTAATCCTCACTTACTTCTTTTCCATTATTTCCCTCTAACTTTTCCTTTTTTTCTCCCTTTTATTCCTTCAATCCACATTTCAATTAACTTCCTTGTTCTCCCAATACCTCATATTGAGTGATGATTCCATTTGGATCCAAAGGTTCTTTCCAGTTCAGGAAGATCTTATTTTCAAAGGATGTTCCTTGAAGAGATTTTACTGGTACGGGACCAGGCACTACAAAACACATGAATTTTTTTTTTGTTATGAAAATGCTTACATTAGAAACAGAAAAAGTAAATCAGACAAGCTAGATAAATAGGATTAAAAATAAATATAAAGAAAAATAAATAAAAATGTATCCTTAAAAACAAAATAAATTACATGACTAGTTATCTGATTTTACTTTGATTTATGGGAATTTAAGCAAGTCTATTTAAGCAAGGTTCTAAAGCAGAAAATGTAGAAAGGCAAAGTTATTTATATTCAAAAGAATATTCTATCACCTTAGAGAGCTGCATAAATTAGGTAGTCTAGTTTTCTCTGTTGTATACCTCTAATAACATGAAGATCTTATTTGTAATTTGTTTCAAGAACAGAGCTGTATTTCCCTGAAAGATTTTTTTGAAGATTATGCTAATCCCCTGAAGAGTCTCCATAAACAAAGTTGATAAAATAATGAATTACAATAATAATTAACACTCTTTGGTCTAGAAAGCTGAATCACATAGCAATGAATTGAAATGTCCATTAATAGCCAACCTGACTTTTATAGCTATACTTATTAAATATTCTATAATTTTTAAAAAGGCAGTGTTTATTATTACAGTATTTAAAGAGTTATTACAGATGAATAGGTTCGAATGTCACTGCTTCAGCCTTTTACAGGAAATTCACTTTTTCAAAGCTAAGAATCAAACTGGTTTATAATGTCAGACTTGTTTAGAACTCAACAATCTGCACAACTACTTCTGAAGTGTCCCCAGCTATAACCATATTTAAGAGCCTTCATTTCAGTCCTTATTTGTAAATGTCATATAACTGGCAATACCTAATGGCAACAATGAATGACACACCAGCTTCTATTGCCAAAACACCAGATATAAATCTTTCACTGTTGTGTATTTTCCTTTTATTTATTTTATTTAAATACTTAGCTGCTATTTATTCACATGAATATCCAATTTCTAGTTCTGGTAATGTTTTAAAATATATACTATCTATCCCACTTGGCTCAAAAATGTGTTTCTTTTTGAAAATATCAACTGAATATTGGGCAAGCATAGTTTTTAATTAATATTTTCCCTTAATCTAATGTTTCAGTGAACTTCACACGATATTATCTAGAAATGTAGTTTCAAAGAATATAGCAATTTTGTGAGGATTGAAATAAATTAAAAATCACTGAATCAAAGGAAATGCATTGCATCGTGGCTAGGAGTATCAAGAAATTCTGAATGATATGTCAGGAGAGTAAGCTTTATTTCAGTCTACACAGAGACTATAAATGATATTACGACCTCTGAGGCAGGCAACATAATTTGACACATTAAGAAAAGAAATCCACAGTAAACAGAAAAGATGCCAGCACTAAACTTCAGAAGATATGTTCAACCACTGTCAGCCGAAGACTCAGAGAGAAGTTAACTGAAGGCATCTGGTCCCTCCCTGCTCCACAGTATCATCAAAGCTGTGCAGCTGATCCAGGCAGGGGCCAGTCAGAGCCCCTTTGCACATCTGTGGCAACTACTGAGGCTGCCATGGGCATTGGTTTGTTTTGCAAGAGTACCTGTTGTTCTATTACATACAAGTCACATACACTTATGATTATCTTGAAGGAAATGATATTTCTTCTTCCTTACATATCTCTCATAGAAGGTGGCTAATGGGAGGAGAGGGGAGCAAAATATTCAGTTAATGAGTAAATGTTGATTTGATGGCATTATAATGACAAAAACTGCCTATGTTTACCTAATACAATGTAGCCTACGAATACTATAAAATGGCATGGATTTATTTTATCGAACATTATTCAATAATAGGGATGGTTAATTATACAGATAAAATATTTGTATAATTCTGCATTGAAATAGCGGTAGAATTGGAAAGTACCTTCCCTAGAATTTTTGTATTTCTATGCTCTTACTTTTTTTTCTATTTTGATGATAGAATTCACTGCAAGTACCTATAGGTTGCATTTGTTAAGAGAAAAGTTCGTGGGGAAGTTGTGGACAAGAGAGTGTCATACTATTTGTCGTGTACTTGGATGAGCATAGTAGATGATAGAAGGAACTACACTCAGATGAACTAAAAAACACACACATAAACAGGTGAGGTGAGGTGTGAGCACAAACCAATTATATTCAATCACTTTCTATATTTGAAGGAAGATCCTGTGTACATTATAGACAGAAAATGTCTCTATGTACCTATGATTTGCATAAATGCTATACTGTATAAAGTTACTAAAACCATTATCATGGCAGTCCACAGATCGCAGGGAATGTCACTTCACATTTCCACATCAACAACTTTTAACGGAAAAGGAATGCTGACTTTTCCCCCCTGCTTGAGATTTATATGACAGCTATTCCAGCTACCTTTTTTTGAAAGTCCTTTAAAATATAACTTTCAAAATGGAAAAGAGGGAAAATAAAATATGGGTGGGGCAAGATTATGTTACATTAAGCATTATAGCCTTTAAAATGTAATAAATGTAGGTTTAAAAATATCTTTGTAGTCTCAAAAAATGTCCCCAAACCAGGCTTTTCTGCTGAGCTAACTTCATAATATTGATTTTTATGAATGCTGGAATAAAAAATGAAAATAAAACCTCATACAGAAAATTCTGTTCATGCATTAAAAAATGTATGCAATAAATTAAATATAAATTCTACCTTAGGGTTCTGGTGAGAAATAGTTCTAGCTTTTCTCTCATGATTTATGGATGTCCCTAGAATTCTTTTTATAAAATTATGTCTTTTTATTAGGTGGTTGATAATTTATTTTTTCTATATATATAGGGCAGCAATAATTTAGTAACACTGACTTAATCAGATCATCAAAATCCATCAATCTTTGCAACAATAGATTATGATTTAGGTATTCTTTCCGACCTCAGAAACATTAAGACACAAGTTTCCATGTAGAAAGTGAAACTCATGTGCCAATTTGAAGACTTTGAGTTACTTGTAAATACTTCATGGAAGGGTTTACATATCAATCATTAAATGTTATATATATAACAAAAAGAAAAAATTACCCTCATAGTAGAAGGGATTAGTTTGTGACAATACTTATGAAATAATAATATAAAACTTAATATCATTAAAATAGGTAAAAATTCTTCAAAGCAGAGATTAAAATAAAACTAGGAGTGAAGATAATATTAAAATTAGAATTTACAATATATTGAAAAATAATGTCATTTTATTTTTACAAAACTATTTCAGATAAAATAAATAGCACAGTCATGAGTCTGATCAACATAGGACATAATTTAAAATTCCAAAGCAGTTCATTCCTTGATTATTAGTCTAGTCATATGTATACTGAAAAATGCATTTAAAAATTTAATGCAATATGAAAACGATTATATAAGCCTGGCTGCATTCTTTTGTTTGTGGGAAAGAAGGGCAAACTAACAAACCATATCAAAGAATATCTTCAAAATGAATGGCATTACTAGAGAATGACTGGCTAAAGCAGCACAAAACTCATGTAACTGAGTCTATCATTACCCATTAGGACATGGTTTTTTTTAAGTGCAGGCAATAAAACATGTGAATATATTTTTATAACTGAAAACATGGGCTATAAAGTGCCCAGTGTGACACAGACCTTGTAACATTTATCCCATTTTAAAAGAAAAGATAGAGATTTTTGGAGCTTTTGAATCTCTACTTAGACTTCTCATTTTTATCCTGTTTCTGTGAAACAATTACCCGTAATCATTGTTTCTTGCATAAATATGCGTTGAGTTTTTTGCGTATGGCAGGGGTGAGACACATGGATGTTTGTATGCTTATAAATTAGAAAACGGAGTGTTGATTAAATGTTGTTGCTGCTTCAATTAGGTGCCAGTTCAAACACGATAGCTAAGGTAATCATCTTTGGTTACCTCAAACATGACAGAAGTACATTCATCAAAAATAAGTCTTAGGTTTATACTCAGAAATTTGAGGAACATGAGAATAAGTCCATGTATGATTTTTGAACTATATTCTTTCCTTTAAATATTGAGTTAAATGTCGTTAAAGGGCTCTGTCTTCTCTTGTTACAACAAAAACAGCAAAGCAAATGAGGGTCATTTTTACTTTTCAGAGTAGGAGAGTTTGAAGTTATAAGTATTTATAGAAACCATGGCATATTAACCTATTTTATGGCAAGCTAATAGTAGGTAGGCACCAAAGGACACACCTGACCTAAGGCTCAGAACTTGAGGGAACTTGGGAATACATGGTTATAAAATACATCCTGTTTTCTGAAACCCAAATAAAAATGTAGTCCTACTGTCAAGCTACTTAAGGAGAAGTTTAGAAGGGGGTGGAACCTCAGAGAACACTATATTTAAGCCCTTCATTTAGATGAGAACTGACTCCTAGTTTAGCTTTGCCTCAGTCCACCATATGGCACACCTTTTTTTTCCTACATGCCTTAATTCATAAAAGGAAAATTTCAAAGGAAATATCCTACATCAAAAGAGTGCCTTATTGTTATTATTAGATTATCATTTGTAGATATTTTATATATGTTTTTATTAAATTAGGAAATATATTCTTATTCAAATTATAATATACTATAGTGCTATAACAGGTATGTGCACATTAAAATACTAACATAAATATTTGTTCCTACTATGAAGAAGTAACACACGTTGAAATTAGACAAAGGGCAGTTTAGTTATTTGAATGGCAGCAAGATATATAAAGAGCAGCTAGCTAATGTCTAATAAAGGACATTATATTAAAGATATGAATGCTTGATTTCTTTTATATTTAGACTCACATAAAATCATCTAAAATGAATAGAAAGGGTAAACAATATAAACTGTGTTGTTTTCAAATGTGAGAAAAATAAAAACAGCTACTATTGGTTTATAAAATATTAAAACCTAAAATTTTTTATCAAGTGCATTTTACCAATAGGCAATTGATACAGTGCCATGGATAGTAAACATTATTTTTGAACACTGGATTAAAAAAAAAAACCATTCATTTAAGTTTTTCGTGTAGTTGCCACTTCTGTATCATTGTATAAGAAGAAAGGGCAACAGATGTACATTTCATTTAGTATTTGGATGCTTCTCTGAAGAATATTAGGTTTTTTAAAGGCAAACTTTTTCCAAAGTTAACCTCATTAATAACATTTAGATGATTTCAGAGTCCAATTCAGTATTGAACAATCTTAGGAAAACTGTAAGCAATCACATTAGATTTGTTAGAGAATTCCCCCCTTTTAAAAGTATGAGCGTACCATCTTCATCAGTTTGAATAATTGTCTCTTCACTCTCCTTCCTTCCCTCTGGATTGGTTAGGATCATCTTGAGGCTGACATTTGTATAAGGTGGCAGATGGTTCACAACATGCTGAGGGGCTTTGGGGTCCATGTCCAAACAGTCTGCCTTACTCTCATTGTGACCACGGAAGTAATGGTAGCAGATAGTGACATTGAAAGTGTGGCAACGTGTAATGTTGTAACCCAGGGATTCCCAGTCCACAGCAATCCGTCTTGCCTGTATTTCAGCAATCTTTAATGTCTTTGGGGTTCGCATAGGTTCTGAAAAATAAATCAAAGTTGCAGAGAGCTGTCAATTTTATCATGAATAATCTTGGAAAAATAAAACACAAAGTAAAATATAGAATATGCAAATCTAGAAAATGTGAAAGTCATGTTTTATTTTCATTTGCTTTATTTATTCATGATCCTATTCTTAAAGGTTTTAATCAGGGACTAAGATTTAACAACAGGAAAATAAATGAAATATAAAATGTCAACAACTCACAGTACTCAGGAACCTGGCAGAAAAATAAAAACTGGAAAATGTAGCTACAATGCCTTTATAGTTGTTGCTGTTGTTACTGCCCATTTTTCTGCCTTTCTTTTGTCTTTATAGAGCAAGTGAATTAGCTAATATATAAAAATGGGTAAGAGTCAACACATTCTACTCTGTGATTTATCACGTCACTAAGCTATGCTGTATACTAATTATTCTAATTGTAACACTATAATACAATTTACAAAAAAAGACACAGATATTAATTAACATTAATTATTTCCATAATGATGTTGTTCATCAAAGCAAAAAACAATGGAGAAAAATTACAAGAACATATGTAGATATTCACACTGTCTTCTTTCCTTATTGGTCTCTTTCCGTCTTTTTCTGGAAAACATTCAGGTCTGACAATCCATTCACTGTCACCCAAACCAAACTGGGAGGTGAATTTTCCATTTAACGGGAAAATATTGGCAGAACTAAACACTCCAAAGACTAGAATCCATCCTTCACTGCTTCCCAAGTCTATTCTTTCCTCATTCAAGACTAACTTTAATCATCTAACTTAATCAACCTAATTACTCTATGAAAGTCATGACCATGGCAACATTTACACACCAAAGAAACTAATACAAAACAAAAACTTTAATTCATTGATCTGACAAAAAAAAAAAGTCAAGGCTTTTCTGATGCCCCCTTAACTGACTAAAGATCATCAAACTCTTGCTAAATGGAAATCAGTAGAGAAATTAATACAAAGAAGTCTGACTTGAGTGTTTTTATAAATTTTTGTTTTTGAGATTAGAATCACAGTTCTGTAAAAATAATAAGCATGCTACACAGGTGGCAAGCCCAAACTGGGGTTCTAGTTCAATGTATTTAATGTGCAGTCTGAAATGAACTCTGGTGGCCATTTAATTTAAAATCTTAGAATTACAAAAATATGTACATATGCAAATTAGTCTTCGGTAGAATCTAATGCTTAGGTTTTAAATGCTATTTGTCAGTCTTATGACTATCCATAGTATCCAGCCTCACTACTTTACCACTTTTATTTCAGATGTTACCGGAAGCCCACAGGCTGGAAGAAAGATGTGGCTTTCTAATTATTTAAAAAATCGTTTTGTATCTTTAGCTCTATGCTAAGATTTTCCCCACCAGACACAAAAGTAAAGGGATACTTTCAGTTTTGTCTAGTTAGACTGAAAACAAAGTCTTTGGTATAACTGCCCACCAGCTAACCAGGCAATGAGAACTAGGATCACCCTAAAAATTCCCAGGTAAACTGTGATTTTGCTGCCTGCTAGGTAGCAACTAGATACTATTCAGTAACCATGTAAGATTCAGCCATACCTTGTTCTAAAATTATATAGAATGAGAAAGTAAGATTTCCCATGAAAATATCTAGAGTATACAAACAAACAATGCCAATATGGCAATGAGAGAAAACACCATAAATATTTAATTCCCTAGTTTTTAAATTTTTTATTTTTTTAGGTCTAGCTTTCTTATACACTTGTTTTAACACACCCTTGATTTTGAATCTGACATTTTCTCCTTTTGTAAATTTCTCTATTTCTAAGTCATCACTCTCTCTCACCAGTTGTTTTTGTCTATTTCGTCTACACTCACTCTGCATTTTAAAACTATTTTCAAAACATACCTAGACATCTTACACACTATAGAGAAGACAGAGTAATTCTGCATCCCCAATTCTTAAATATCTAAGAGTGGACAAATTATTTATTTTCTATTATGCAGAAAATGCATAGGATTTACTTTGAATGATAATTTTATTTTGGTGTATTTAAATGCTGCTTACTTCGGCACTCATTGTATTAAAAACTCATTTAAAATTGGGAAAGAGTAGCTTTATTGGCTCTATACAATGTATATAAAGTGCAATCATAATTTCAGTGACCAATACATTATTAACTGATATAGAAAAACAAAGAGTTGTGGAAAGAAAGAGCTTTCTAAGGATCAACAAAGTCAATATGTTATTTGAAACTGACATTTTTTCCCACAGTTTGAATGTATGCTTTAAAGTGCCCCATTGCTGATAAAATAGTGACTTGACATAATTTTGCTCTCACCTTAGGATAGTATTCAGAAACGTATACACAACCAAAGTAAAAACATACATACACAGGATTAAAAATCAAAACTTGATTCTTTTGAGCTGCATTGAATTAATAACTCAGAGGAAATTACTTTATAACTGCATTTTTTTTCTTAATTGGCATGTACCTTAAATTTTTTCAGTTTTTATTGAGGGGAGAAATTCTCAGTGTTGTGTGTATACATACATACATATATAAATATACACATATATATTACATACATGTATATCTATATGTGTGTATACTATAAAAGCCATTCAAAGAAAATTTTCTGAAAGAATCAAACAACAAAATTGCCTAAAATATTTACCTTAATCCATTATTTCTCATGCCTAACCAATAACTGCATTGTATTTCTGAGGTATGAATACAAAAATAAAAATATAACTTTTAAAATAAAAATAATTACTTGAATTGCCATAGAATAATTGAAAGTAGAAAGACATTGTTTGGAAACCACTGATATTTACAAACTGGCCATAAGGGCTATTTTAAATATTAAATAATTTCAAGATATGACCTAGCAGGGTCAGTCACTTACAGAGGTACTGTAGTAAATCGTTATTTATAACAACATAAAAAACCATAAGGGTGGAAAAACAATGGAGAACACATTCATGAATGCATTATCTGTAAACTGTTTTGGAAACTGCTACATGTTCTTTCCTCTCAATTTTTTGAATTTCTTTTTTTAAATCTTTATTGGGTATCCCATATATTGTAATTTTATATAACATTTCTTTCTTTTTTCTTTTTTTTTTTTTGCATTTGTAGTAAAAGAAAGAATTGAAAAAGGTTGAAGGGTAAAATTTTATCAGAAACTTTGAAAGAAACAAAGGAATGCTGGGGGTGGTGGCTCGCGCCTGTAATCCCAGCACTTTGGGAAGCCAAGGTGGGCGGATTGCTTGAGCTCAGGAGTTCGAGACCAGTCTGAACAACATGGTAAAACCTTGTCTCTACTAAAAATACAAAAAAATTAGCTAGGTTGGTGGTGCATGCCTGTAGTCCCAGTTACTTGGGAGGGTGAGGCAGAAGAAAATCACTTGAACCCTGGAGGCAGAGGTTGCAGTGAGCTGAGACTGCACCACTGTACTCCAGGCTGGGCGACAAAGCAAGAGTCCCTTTCAAAAAGAAAAAAAAGAAAAAGAAACACAGTAATCGGGTGATCTTCATGCCATGAGTGGTTACACTTAAATGTTTAGATCAAGTCATCCCTCTATAATGAAACATAAAGAGATTTTATTATTATATCCAGTATACTATCCTAAGTATTCTGGAAGGTACTAAAGTGAATAAAGTATAATATTAGACCTCAAGGAGCTTCTATGTGTTTAAGATGATAAGCTAAGAAAAAAAGATAAACAATTTGTGTAAGTGCCATATAAGTAGAAATAAAATGCTATAGGAATTCAAGAGGGAGAAAAAACTTCCACCATTCAAATGGAGGAGATATTTGTGTTAGGTTTCAATGGATAGAAGCAAGATCTTTAGACCTCATTTTGCTAAATAATACAAAAAATGAAAGAATGAGATGGGTAAAAATGTAGAACACAACTGGAGAAAATCTGTAATCTCATTTGGTTGCTATACAAGTATCATACAGGAGATAATGTAGGAAAGGTTGGTTGGGAAAAGACTGTGTAAACTGGATGTCATGGTTAAGAGGTTGAACTTACCTAATAGGCTATCAGAAGTCACTGAGGGTTTCTGAGCAGGAGGTTAACATAGTAAAATAACAACATTAACAAGATTAATTTGAAGGCTGTGTCGACTGTGGAGACACTGAATGTAGAGGAAATCAAAAGAATCTGACGTGTTAGCGGAGAGGCTGGGGCTAAGCAAGGAGGGGAAAAGCAGGCACACGCAGGATAGGGGCTACTGATGTGGAAGGACAATTGAAAAACTTGGTAGTTACTTGGATTTGAGTTACGTGAATGGATATAATACAGCTAATGTGTTCGTTCCAAATGATGAAGAAAATTAAGGTGCTCTTAAATAAACAAAGAAAGTTCAAGAATAGACACATATTGGGGGGTAAAATGATCCAATACTTTCTTACTATTTATTTATTGATTTCTGTTGGCCAAAAAGTATACTAGAAACTAAGGAGGCAAAGATCAGTCTGATAGTGTCCTTGGCTGGGAAGCAAGGTATACAAGCAATGCTTGAACTGATTTCTGTGTTTTAGATAACTTGGGGAGCATTAGGGATTAAAAGAGGTCTAAGTGAAGGTATCAATACACCTTAGTCAGGAGTTGGGGTACTTCCAATCATTCCAGAGATAAGAGGAAGAAGGAGAGAGAAGGTAACAGATAAGGAGAGGGTGAGAGAAAAGAGAAAAGAATAAGAAGGAGAGGGCAAAGGAGAAACGGAGAGAAGAGGATGATCAAAGACAGAGAGGGAGAAAGAGAGAAACAGAACAGAGACAGAGACAAGAGCATGTCCTAGTGAGCGTAGCAGGGAGCAGGTGAGCTTGAAGAGAAGATGGTGTTAAACACATATCATGTTACAAATTCATTCACAAGAGAGGCCAAAGAGAATTACATAAAACCTAGTGTCTGCCCCATTTTTCAGATTAAAATAAAAAAAGAATTGTAATGAAGGCAAGCTGACTTTTCTAAAAAGACTCATGAAGTCAAAAGCAGAGGTCAGTACCA